GATGTGAGATACCAAATACACTGATACCTTCACTTGTAGGTAGTTCTCTCAGATGCAGCTCTTAGCAATCTTATACCATCCTCCCAGCCAGTAATTCTAGTAGAGATCATCCTTTCCCCCCAAATTACAACAAACTCACTGGGGTGAGTCTTCTTGGATGGACTTAGCTAAGTGTCCTTCCCTTCACTAACATTTTTCACAAAAGGAAAAAAAAAAGTTATTACCAGAATAAGGAGGATTTGGGGTGGGGGGAGGACAGCAAAAACAACAGATGTTTGTGTTTGCTGTTATCACCAATCACAATACAACTATTTATCTTCTGTTTGCAAATATGTTTGATAGTAATAATACTAGCTAACCTTTATTGAGTGTTTGTTATATGTCAGGAACTTTGCGCTCAATTGCTTTAGTTATGTCCGACTCTTTGCAACCCTATAGACTGTAGCCCACCAGGCTCCTCTATCCATGGGATTTTTCCAGGCAAGAATACTGGAGTGGGTTGCTGTGCCCTCCTCCAGAGGATTTTCCTGACCCAGGGATTGAACCCGAGTCTCTTACATCTCCTGCATTGGCAAATGGGTTCTTTACCACTAGTGCCACTTGGGAAGCCCCAATTTTATGTTTCACTTAATTTTTGCTACATGCCTTTGAAATGGGTACTATTATCTTTAATTTATGAATAAGAGAGGCACAGAGAGTTTAAGTAATTATTCCAAAGTCAAACAGCTAGTTAATAATCAGGCTTGGTTTTGAACCAAGACGGTTTAGTTTTAGGATTCATACTCATAAACCACTCCACTAAAACACCAATACCATGCACGAAGTGTTAAGTTTTAATTTCAGGTATTTGTACTCTGAGGTCTTGGGTTTTATTGTATAGAATGTGTTTCCACTGACACAGAGATGAAGATGACTCAGTCTTAACCCTGAAGTGATAGACACATTTCAATACCTGATCATATGGTGGTGGAGGGGGATGTATAAACACTTTTAAGCTATGTGCATTCATTGTTCTGCCTCAAGTACCTCCTACTGATAATACACCATTGACAGAGTAAGTTTTGTGTGTTTGTTTGTTTGTTTGTTTTGTAAGGCTCTTTGAGTGAATATTTAGGAATAGAGGTGACTGAAAAATGTCACTAGCATGACTCATTTAACTCATTTAGGTGCATATCTGGCCTGTATTAGGAACATTTTTATTTGTTCTAATTAACTGTTGGACAACCTGCCCACATCAGCAGGAAATTTGGTGTTTCCTCTTCAAGTCTTTGCCCACAACTTGAATTGTACAGAAATTTTTGAGGGTCTTATTTAGTCTAAATGGTTGGTCTAGATTTTAAGCTCTGGGATGTTTGTGTTGCTAATGCCCTGATGTGGATGGTAGAATCCATTATGTTATTGTCCATTGAGGTGAGACCTGTTCATCCCTGTGAGTCCTGCACTGGCTCTGAACACACCTCATCATCGGGCTCCAAGATTTAGACTGTGTTTGGTTATATGCCAAGGACCAGCTATTGCTTCTCAAACACAGCAATCTCACCAGCGCAGCCAGTCTGAGATGAGCAAGTAAGATTGTGGCATCCACTGTGCTCCTGGAACTCTCTCTTCCCACAAAACAGTAGCCCTGTCCACTGGTCCAGGCTTTTCCTTTCTGCCTAGGGAGGTCCTCTTTGGGGCTCTTCATGTCCCAGTAAACCTCTGTCTGGGCCATCTTGTTCATTGGAAGGGCTTTTTAATTCTACTGAACTCCACAGGCATACCAGTGCTACTGAGACTGGAGTGTGTAACACACCTTTCGCCCTGGAGATTATCCAAGTCTACTTAACAGAGACCACTCAAGTGTTACAGGCAAACATCAAAGATAATCTGTCCTAGGGTGGTTTTCTGCATCAACCTAGGCACAAAAGCTGCATGCTAACACATGCATTAAAATGTATCCAACTTACATCAGATTTTAAATACACAAAAATGTTTTCAAGTTATGCTTCACTAGACATCCTGCTAGAGAAATATGACAACATTTCAGGGTATCATATCCTTGGGCAGACTCTTCGGTGGAGACAGCTTTTCAGCACCAACAAGATCTACTTCATTAGAGAGGCGGTTCCCCAGAGAGAGGGTATTGCTATTCCCAGAAAAAGAGAGGACAGATGAAAGGTGACCAATACATTTAAAAGTGTGTCTGTGGCTGGTTAACCTTGGGCTCAAGAGAGGAGAAAACAATCATCTATTCAACTACAGCTGGTCCTTTTCTCACTGTAGAAAACTAGGTATCATACCCCATTTATGTCATTTTTACAGGAAAACTTAATATTGAGCTCTGAATGATTCAGAGTTAGGAGGAACATAAGGACCTACTACACAGATTGGTGTCATTGCCTAAGGACCTAGAAACTCTCAAGTATTTAGTCTCATAGGCAAATTTCATTTGGAATAGAAGGCATCAATTTCATCATTTAAGAAGAGATGGGCGTTTTTTCAATACATAGTACGTGGTATCATCTCAGAAGTAAGAGGGTGCCAAATAGAGCACCAGGAAATGGCAATATTAATTTGGATGACCAGAGCTGAAAGGAGAGAACTCATGATCCCTTCTCTCCTCTTTGCCTTCTCCACCTCCCTTTGAGTAAACATGTCACTAAGTATTAAGAATATTTGGCAAAAGCATTTCCCTTTAGAGCAAGGGGGAAATTAATATTTTTTCTGGGGGTGGGATTGGGGAGGTACAAGCATGAAGCCTGGTGTTGATGACTTCTCTGCAAATACGATAATTTCTAATTAAAAGTTGGCAGCCACACCAAATAGCTTGCACCCTGTGGGAAAGCAAGGACTGAAAGGTTGGGTGGGATGAAGAGGCCTGATGTAATCGCATTCCACTAACTGAAAACCCTTTCCTGTGGGTAAACATTGTCCTGGCGATATCATGCTCTGTTCCTAATAAATTTCAGCAGGCAAAGACATAGACATATCACCTAAAAAGGTCTTAAGAAAAAACAAAATAAAAAGGTCTTCAAATGACAATAGTTTCTGGAAATCAGGAAATAGAGTTGATTTCCCACTAAAGTAGGTCTGTCTGTTCAGTAGAGTTGCCAGGTTGCTGTCATGGAGAGGTTATTTGCTGACTCATCTTGATATTGGGGAATTTTCAAGTTTCCATTGTACAGAGTTCTGTCTCTTTCCAGAGGTAATCTCTTTAAAATAATAATTTTATGTAACATATGTGAACTGTGTTTTACTATTTTATATTCTAATAAGAAATGTCAGTTATCCCTAATTCCAACAAAGGGGGAAAACACAGTCTTTGGAAATCTTCTCAATTCATAGTATAAAAAGTAAAATATGAGCCACGGACAGTTAGTGGCCTAGTTTTTCGAGACAACTGATTTAAAAAATTCATCTTTTAAGTGTAGCCAAATTTTAGTAATACTTTTTTTTTGTACCTAAGACATTAAGATTCTACTTTTTGTTATCCCTTTGAAGCTTATTTACTTGTGAAATTAGGTTTAAAACATTACTTTTATTTTTAGTATGAAAATGGCTTTCAGTAACTCATCAGTTACTTTTAAACAAAGTCTTTCTGGTCAGATGCCAAGCTCCACTCTTCACATCTTGAGTCCTGGCTCTGACTAGGTGACTGATCCCAGGATTTGGGAAAGGACCTCAGAGACTTCTCTTCCCAGTCACCAACAGGGAAAGGATTCTGTCCACACCTTTGCCCCTCCCAATTGGTCATGTGGCCTCTGCTTGACACCCAGTGGTGTCTGTATTTTGTGAGGCTATTATCTGCAGGAAATGGACTCCTTTTCAAAGATGGGCAGCACAGATAGTCTGGATACAAAGTAATTTGGTCATTCATGTATTCACTCATTCTTTTGACAGATGTTTACTGAACATCTCTGAGTCAGGCAGGTTCTGAGTTGGCTCTAAGGACAGAGGTTAAGAGAGGAGATGTGGTCTCTGCCCTCATGGAGTTCCCAGTCGGGGAGAGAGACATTAAAGACTAAGTAATTACACTATTTATAATGGTGAAAAATGGCATGAAGGACAACTGGAAAGTGTGATAAGGGCTAACTATAGGGAGGCAGACCCAGACTGGGGGGTGAGTTGGAGTTTTAATTAAGACACTTTTCTTTTTTCTCCCATCATATAAATGAAGCCTAGGTATGAAAGTCTGGGTTAGAATTTCTTAAAATAACTACACATTAAAAGAGGTAAGATGTGTCATAAATGAGAGTACTAATACAATGTAGATGCTCTCCATAAATAATGGTTAGGTATTTATAATATATACTATTTGGCAATATCATATAGCCTTAAAAGTAACTTGGAAAAGTTTTTATGCATTTCATAAAAACTTTATGCTCTATTGTTATTAAGTACAAGAAGTTGTAAATGCAGAAACATTGTTATATGTATATTTGTGTATGTGTATGCATATGCCTAGAAAATATGTGAAAATTGTACCAAAATGTTTTTCTTTTTATTGTTAACTGAATTATAAATATGCATATAAAATATATTTTAGTGAATATATATCAAGTAAACATCTGTGCGACCACAGCCAGGTCAAAGCTTAGAACTCTGACAGCACCCAAAGGACCTCCTCTCCCTCATTCAGCATTCACCATAAATAATCCTCTTTCTTAGAGGATTTATTTCTAGAAATAAACACTACCCTGACTTTTATGATCATCACATATATCTTGTTTGTATTTCTAAGTCATGTAAATTGCTTTTGTCAGTTTTGAACTTTATATACATGGAATTATACTTTTCTCATTTCTTTGGCTCCACATCATGGGTGTGGAGTTCAACACTTCATTCTTGCAGTGTTCCTTTGTGTGAATGAACACAGCACAGTTCACTTGTCCCTTCTAGCATGGATGGGCATTCGTGTCGTCTCCAGTTTGGGTCTACTACACACAGTGGTTCAACCACCATTCTTGTACATGCACATTGCACACAGTATATTGAGTTTCTTTACAGGTTAAAGCCTCTAAATGTGCTTGCTGGTCCTGGGAGGTATTGGTTATTTTGTTTCAACCCTCCCATCCTGATCCACTCATCCCTGCTCTTTGCCTTTTTAAGTACCTTATCACCAGACTGCCTGGCCTCCAGCTTTTAGTTACCTTTGGCCAAAGGGAGGCAACAGCATGAGCTTGAAGGGTGGGAGGTACAACTCTTAGAGCCTGAATGCCCCTGGCTTCCTCTCTGCCTCCCCACAGCTCTGGAAGCAGCTGCACTGCATTTCTTCTTCAGTTCTAGCTCTCACAAGGCTCTGGAAATTCTTCCTTCCGCCTGCCACTTGAGGCCCAGCAGTGGTAAAGACCTCCCGTGACCTCCCGTTAAGTCTCCAGTGGATTGCCATCCTTGTGGTTCTTAACCCTGCTCACACCTTCGTAAACCATCCTTTATTAAACTCTCTTCACTCAAACCGTTCTGAAGATGCCATGTCCTTCCTCCTATTTAAGGCACACGATTCAATGGCTTATAATATATTCACTTCACTATGTATCCATTCAGTTCAGTTCAGTTCAGTCGCTCAGTCATGTCCCGACTCTTTGCGACCCCATGAACCACAGCACACCAGGCCTCCCAGTCCATCACCAACTCCCGAAGTCCACCCAAACCCATGCCCATTGAGTCGGTGATGCCATTCAACCATCTCATCCTCTGTCGTCCCCTTCTCCTCCTGCCCTCAATCTTTCCCAGCATCAGGGTCTTTTCCAATGAGTCAGCTCTTCGCATCAGGTGGCCAAAGTATTGGAGTTTCAGCTTTAACATCAGTCCTTCCAATGAACACTCAGGACTGATCTCCTTTAGTATGGACTGGTTGGATCTCCTTGCAGTCCAAGGGACTCTCAAAAGTCTTCTCCAACACCACAGTTCAAAAGCATCAGTTCTTCGGCGTTCAGCTTTCTTCACAGTCCAACTCTCACATCCATACATGACCACTGGAAAAACCATAGCCTTGACTAGATGGACCTTTGTTGGCAAAGTAATGTCTCTGCTTTTTAATATGCTGTCTAGGTTGGTCATAACTTTCCTTCCAAGGAGTAAGCGTCTTTTAATTTCATGGCTACAATCACCATCTGCAGTAATTTTGGAGCCCAGAAAAATAAAGTCAGCCACTCTTCCCACAGTTTCCCCATCTATTTGCCATGAAGTGATGGGACCGGATGCCATGATCTTAGTTTTCTGAATGTTGAGCTTTAAACCAACTTTTTCACTCTCCTCTTTCACTTTCATCAAGAAGCTCTTTAGTTCTTCTTCACTTTCTGCCATAAGGGTGGTGTCATCTGCATATCTGAGGTCATTGATATTGCCACAATCAATTTTAGAACAATTTCCTAAAAGAAATGCTGTAGCACTTAGTGGTCACTTCCAATTCCCCCATACTCCTCCCGCCTAAGTCAACTACTATTAATATATAATCTACTTTCGATCTCTATAGACTTTTCTATTCTAGATATTTCATAAAAATTTCATGTATATGTGTATATATATGTATTTAAATTTGTTACATGTATTTATTTTTTCTTTCTATATGTACCTTAGATTTAGATCTTTAGGCCACCCAGAAATTTTTGATAATGATGATGATGGTGAAAGAGATTTTTCAAAAGAAAATATTCCATTTCTCTTGCCAAATGGACATCAAATTATCCCATCACCACTTATGGAAACATATCATTTTCTCTGTTAATCTACATTGTGTCCTTTTACTATAAGATTAATTCCCATGGAGATGAGTCTCAGAGAAATGACAACTGTCTTCTTTATACCTTTTTTCAAATGTCCCTCAGTGAGGCTATGTCATTTATACAACCAGAAAAAAAGTTTTAGAGAGTAAAATTAAATTTTTTCAATTAAAAAAATTAGAAGTTGAGGGTCAATAGCAAAGGATGCATAGAAGTTTTCAGACCCCAGAGGAAGTCTTCTCTTTTGCTGCTTTTCCTACTTCCCAACATTCTCATTTTCTGTAGCAAATAGCCAAGAAGCTTCTTGTATCTGCAGTACAGAACAGTGACAGAACCACCTGCACAGCCTCCAGGAAACCTGAGTTCTCAGCTTAGTTCTCATGCCCAGTTTCTCCAGGTTCAGGCTGAGGGTACCTCCCCTGTTCACTAGAGCATGGATCCCTAACCCCCAACCCCCAGGTGATTACAGGTCCATGGCCCATTAGGAACCCAGCCCCTCACAGCAGGCGGCCGGCAAGCCACTCCCCATCCCTCCCCATCCCTCTCATTACCACCTGAACCATCCCCCAGCCATTGTGGAAAAACTGTCCTCCACAAAACCAGTCTCTGGCTCCAAAAAGGTTGGGGACCACTACACTAGAGCTTTTCTTTTCTGAACTTTGCTCTGATCCAGGTCCAGAGTCTATGACTCTAAGAGAAAATCGACCTCTTCATGAAATAGATTATCCTCTTTCAGCTGTTGTTGATATTTAATCGCTAAGTCATTTTCGACTCTTTCACCACCCCACGGACTGTAACCCTCCAGGCTTCTCTGTTCATGGGGTTTTCCCAGCAAGAATACTGAAGTGGGTAGTCATTCCCTTCTCCAGGGGATCTTCCTGACCCAGCGGTTGAACCCACATCTCCTGCTTTGGCAGGCGGATTCTTGACCACTGAGCCACCAGGGAAGCCCTCTCTCTCAGAACCCAGATCCTATTGACCATTTAATAATCTCTCAGGTTCTCTCATCTCTTCCCCACTTCCTCCACCTTCTGCTTCTGACACAGACAGTCTAGGTATTAATGTAACTCTTCTTCACTCTCTCTAGTAATGCTTGGGCTCCAAATAGGGGATCTAGACAGGCAATAGTGGCAAATGAAGATCTGGCATCAAACTGTGTGTGCTAAGTCACTTCAGTCATGTCCGACTCTTTGCTATCCCTGGGACGGTAACCCACCAGGCCCCTCTGTCCCTGGGATTCTCCAGGCAAGAATACTGGAGTGGGCTGCCATTTCTTCCTTCAGCCAATCTTCCTAATCTAGGGATCAAAGGGCAGGCCGGTTCTTTACCACTAGTGCCACCTGGGAAGCCCAAGTGTCAAGCTGCCTGGGCTTAAATTCCACTCCAGTTATTTATTATCTGTGTACCCTTGGAGAAGTTACTTTATTGCTCAGTCTCTTAATTGACTGTTTCCTAGCCTCTAAAATGATGATGGCTGTTAGAATAAAATGAATTGTTCCTTAGAAATTTCTTAATATTGCCTGGTGCATGGTCCATTCTCAATAAATGTAAGTTGCACTTATAGTTATTATCTGATGCTTATACTGAGAAAACCATTCACCCACTGTCATGAAAGAGATATCATATTTTGGCACATGTAAGTTATAAAATGTTCACTCCTTGAAAAAGTCCAAAACAAGCCAGAAACACTGGCATCTGTAACAATTGCTTTCTATCACCATGATGAATCCACTCCTTCAGTTCCCTTCAAAGTCTACTTTGGAAGTGGGGGAGGGGGCAGAGGCATATGGAAGTTGGAGGGAGGTCAGTGTGTTTGACATCTGGTTCAGTACGATGCACAACAGACACAACACTCTGGAAAATAGAAGCTTAAGTGGCAAAGGAGACAGTGATAAGTCAGTCCTCAGGAATTCATAGGAAGAGTGGGAGAGTGCTGAATTTCCACATTCAAAGGAATCCAATTCATAGGATTCATTCCAGTTCATCAGCATTTGAGGGAGAGGGTTGAATTTCCACAGTCTAGGTAGGGGTGGGGATAAACTGCAAGTCTCTTATGCCCAGATCTAAGGGACAGAAACACCTGGAGTTACTCACGAGGTGCAGCCCAGAATGCCCTGCTGCGCCACTTCCCCCCAGTTGCTGGCTGCTGAGCAAGATGCTGATGAATGTTCAACCCCTCTTCTCTCTGCTGCACTCCTTCTTGGCAACATTCATCATGAATAGGCCTTCTGGGCAGCTTTGGATCCTGCATTTGCTCTCATGTGGTGGTTTGCTACTTACTTCCTTTTAACATTCTTTTGAATGTCTCCTTTACCTTGGAACACAGGTCTCTCCTAGAGCCATCTGCTCCTTCTCTTCTCAGTATCCATAGCCTTGCTCTCTGATTTCTCCATCAGCGTTTTGGCTCTTGTCTGGGATTCAAATACAACTTCTGTTCAAATATTTTCCATGTGAACTTTTTGTTTGGAGCACGTTGTGTTTCATTGGTGTGGACCTTTATTGGGATAGAAGAGGGTGATCGGGGCTGATACTTGAAAAGTCAAGTTTATATATCCAAATAAAGAGACCAAATAAAGCCCTTCTTCACATGGGTTTCTGTCCAAAAAGCCTCAGGCTCAATGCAGAGACAGTCATGACCAAGGAGGCTAGTGCTGAGTTGAGGCCATAAACCAGCCTAGGAATGGACTGAGGCTCATAGTTGGCACACATGCCTTTAGATTCTCTCACATTTACCCTCCTGGGTCTTCTTAACCTAGGTCATTGGCCTAAGAAAAGTGTCAGGCCAGGCCACAATTCAACATCAACATGTGTACTTAACCACACCACACCCCACATGCAGCATGACAAGCCCTGGCTACTCGCAAACCACTGGAGTGTCCATCTCCTCCAGTGGAGTCCAGATAAGGGCTTTCAGCTTGGCTGCCTCTGCATGACTTTTGCCAGGTCCAGCATTCCAAAGAGAGACACATTTACCTACTCAAGGAGCCTCTTCTCTTGACTCTGACCTGGATGAATGTCCCAACCAAGGACATGTTAGCAAGATCGAAGAGTGCTGTGTTGTGAATCAAGTGTGAGTTTAAATCCCAGTTTTATAACAGCTGTGTAGCCTTGAACTAATTCCTTCATATCACTCTACCTACTTCCTCATTTGTGAAATGGAGCTAATAAAGCAAAGGGGGTGTGAGAATCCACAGAAAGATAACCCACAAATAATAAGGTGGGCGATTCCCTGAGAAATATGTTAGTCCTACTGAGACAGGAAATAGGGTTGATGTTACATAGGGAGAGGTGGTCCCTTCTTCGATATTTAAGGGATGAGAG